GGGAGAACGAGAAGGGAAGAGAAAGACAAAGACAAAAACAAGGAAGAGAGAAGGGAAACAGAAACAGACAGACAAACAGAGAAAAGAAATGAGACAGAGGACGAGAAAAAGAGAAAGAAAAAGCAGCGTCAATAAAAAAAGCATTTAATTGGTCCGCCTATGTAGTCGCCTCTACCATGCTGGCGTCACCATAACTCAGCCTGACATGTTGAACTTATGCCGATCTCTTTGCAACCTCTCTTCAACATTGCAACATTTCAACAGCACTTCAGAACAATACCATCCATCTGCGTGCAATTTACCGCTTGCTAAGAATTGTCTCTCATTCATAATGCATAATAACAGTCAAAAATGATATTGAGAAAGAGTGTGTAATAATCATTATCACAAACAAGTGGAATTACCTGTATTATATTGACTTATATCCTAAACTGTGTTATCATTATTTCAAAAAAGTTTATTGTCTTTGGATTTCCTACACTATTAGGGAAAAAAAAATATATATATATTCAAAAGTTATCAGTAACGGAGACATTAACATTAACAAACCTTGTATCTTCTAAGTCTTATCTTTAATGAGTATTAGTAATGTTAATGAAAAATAACATAGAAACTGTTAGGTAGGTAGTAGAATTTAATGGTGTTAATTTTACTGGTGTTGGTAAATTGATATTATTGTTAGTGCTTTCAAAACTTCAGTAACTAGTTATTGCTGATTAAGGAACTATTGGCTGAAACTATTGCTTTCTGAAGTAGTTATTTTCCCTAAAAGTGACCCTTCTATCAATAAGAGATATAGCTGCTATAGTCAGTAAAGTTAGTGAGAAATAGCAGCACATATATATTGTAAAAAAAAAAAAAAAAAAAAAAAAAAAAAAAAATATATATATATATATATATATATATATATATATATATATATATATAAATACATACATATATTATATATGCATATATATATATATATATACATATATATATATATATATATATATATATATATATATATATATGTATATATATATACATATATACATATATACATATATGCATATATACATACATATATATACATATATGCATATATATATATACATATGTGCATATATATATATATATATATATATATATATATATATATATATATATATATATATATATATATATATATATATATATATGATGCGGTACCCCTTTTTCTCCTATAGAACTAAGACAATAACCTAGTCATTTCCTAGATAAAAAGCAGTCGATCTCTACAAGACCTCGGGCTACACACCGGCTACCTCTACCACGCTATGTAAAATTGGGTATGTCACTAGCTACTTGTACTGTACCCAAACAATGCACAGTAAAGTTCGCCCAGACCAGGTTTTTTCTAACCACTTGGCACAGCATAGACAATAGGCAGCGTAACACGACATCTACGAACAGTAAAAGCACTCGATTGGCCAGTCATAGCGAAAGGAATTTAAAAAAAGACCCGATAATGAACACAACAGGAACACTTGGTGATGACTTAGGCCTACAGGATGACAAACCTGCGCTCCAGGGCATACCAGGGGCGTCCCAAACGTTGATACCAGAGCCTATGGTGACTCCGACGCCTCCGTGCTTGGTTTCCAGAGTCTCCAGCACCTGAAGGGTCAAAGGGGGATGTTTGAAAGCAAAAAAGAAATGGCATTCAGTTGTAAAAGGGTTAGAGAGTTGTATGTATGGGCACACGAATGCGAGAAAGGTATACATGGTTTGGGTTGAATTTGGTTTTGCAACTGAATGGGATGTTGATGTGTGTTGTGTTGCAGATTTGTGATTTGTTAGACGGTGGGCTAGAAAATAGACTCGTAATACCTACTTGCAAAGCTATATTATATATATATATATATATATATATATATATATATATATATATATATATGTATGTATGTATGTATGTATGTATGTATGTTTTTTTGGTTATTCTACAGACAGGTGTACTGACTAACTTTACATAAGACTAATGTTTAAAGATAATACACTCTTGCTCATATTAAAGAAAATAATTTATATAAGAATTCACATCGATACAGATACCTGACATAAACACAACACAGTGTTGAAACCGACCTGTTCGACAATAGCCTTATGGTCTTCCTGCGTGAGTCCTCCTGGCCTGCCTGGTGGACCCGGTGACCCGACACCTGTTTCACCTCGTTCACCTGGCGGGGGGGGGGGGGAGTACAAATAGAGTGTGATGATAATAATAATAGGTGATAGTAATGGCATTTGGTAAATGGTCATTAGTGATGATAATTAGAGTATAATTACGAAGAGGAATGGTCTTTGGTGATTGATAATTAGATATGGTAATAGGTGAATAAGAATTGGTAATGAGTGATAGATGATAAATGGATGAGCTGTTAATGAAAGAATGAATGCAGTTCACACAAAACCTTGTAATTAAGCCTTAAAAAAAAAAAAAAAAAAAAAAAAAAAAACACGCTAAAAACACTAACCTTTATCCCCTTTGTCGCCAGGAACCCCGATGAAGCCTGGAGGACCGGGGGCGCCGTTCATACCGGGAGATCCTGGTTCTCCCTTAGGTCCTGCCGGGCCGCTCCTTCCCGGTTCGCCCTGGAAGAGGAGAGTCGAGGGACGTCTCAAAGCATTCTCAGAGAAAAAAAGGGAAGTTTCAAAGAAATATCAAAGAAAGAAGGACTTTGAGAAAGGAAAGACGTCTCTAAGAAATCTCAAAGAAAGAAGAAGAAAGGTCTCAAAGAAAACTCAAAGAAGAAGAAATTTCTCAATGAAAACTCACAGAAATCTCAAAAAAGAAGAAAATTCTCGAAGAAATTCACAGAAATCTCAAAGAAGAAGAAAATTCTCAAAGAAAACTCACAGAAATCACAAAGAAGAAGAAAAGTCAAAGAAAACTCACAGAAATCTCAAAGAAGAAAAGTCTCCAAAAAAAAACTCACAGAAATCTCAAAGAAGAAAAGTCTCTAAAAAAAACTCACAGAAACCTCAAAGAAGAAAAGTCTCTAAAAAAACAAAACAAAAAACTCACAGAAATCTCAAAGAAGAAAAGTCTTAAAAAAAAAAAAACTCACAGAAACCTCAAAGAAGAAGAAACGGCGTCTCTATGAAATCTCAAAGAAGAAGAAAATTCTCAAAGAAAAAAAAGGGAAGCTTCAAAAAATGTCAAAGAAAGAAGGTCTTCGAGAAAGGAACGGCGTCTCTATGAAATCTCAAAGAAAGAAGAAGAAAAGTCTCAAAGCAAACTAACAGAAATCTCAAAGAAGAAAATTCTCAAAGAAAACTCACAGAATCTCAAAGAAGAAAATTCTCGAAGAAATTCACAGAAATCTCAAGAAGAAAAGTCTCAAAGAAAACTCACAGAAATTTCTCGAAGAAATTCACAGAAATCTCAAAGAAGAAGAAAATTCTCGAAGAAATTCACAGAAATCTCAAAGAAGAAGAAGAAAAGTCTCAAAGAAAACAGAGAAATCTCAAAGAAGAAAAGTCTCTAAAAAAAACTCACAGAAATTTCTCGAAGAAATTCACAGAAATCTCAAAGAAGAAGAAAAGTCTCAAAGCAAACTAACAGAAATCTCAAAGAAGAAAAGTCTCTAAAAAAAACTCACAGAATCTCAAAGAAGAAAATTCTCAAAGAAAACTCACAGAAATTTCTCAAAGAAAACTCACAGAAATCTCAAGAAGAAAAGTCTCTAAAAAAAACTCACAGAAATTTCTCAAAGAAGAAGAAAAGTCTCTAAAAAAAAAAAAAAACCCTCACAGAAATCTCAAAGAAGAAAATTCTCGAAGAAATTCACAGAAATCTCAAAGAAGAAAATTCTCGAAGAAATTCACAGAAATCTCAAAGAAGAAAATTCTCGAAGAAATTCACAGAAATCTCAAAGAAGAAAAGTCTAAGAAAACTCACAGAAAATTCTCAAAGAAAACTCACAGAAATTTCTCGAAGAAAATTCACAGAAATCTCAAAGAAGAAATTTCTCAAAGAAAACTCACAGAAATCTCAAAGAAGTCTCAAAGAAAACTCACAGAAATCTCAAAGAAGAAAATTCTCGAAGAAATTCACAGAAATCTCAAAGAAGAAAATTCTCAAAGAAAACTCACAGAAATTTCTCGAAGAAAATTCACAGAAATCTCAAAGAAGAAATTTCTCAAAGAAAACTCACAGAAATCTCAAAGAAGAAAATTCTCGAAGAAATTCACAGAAATCTCAAAGAAGAAAATTCTCGAAGAAATTCACAGAAATCTCAAAGAAGAAGAAAATTCTCAAAGAAAACTCACAGAAATTTCTCAAAGAAGAAGAAAATTCTCAAAGAAAACTCACAGAAATTTCTCGAAGAAAATTCACAGAAATCTCAAAGAAGAAAAGTCTCAAAGCAAACTAACAGAAATCTCAAAGAAGAAAATTCTCAAAGAAAACTCACAGAAATTTCTCGAAGAAAATTCACAGAAATCTCAAAGAAGAAGAAAATTCTCAAAGAAAACTCACAGAAATTTCTCAAAGAAGAAGAAAATTCTCAAAGAAAACTCACAGAAATTTCTCGAAGAAATTCACAGAAATCTCAAAGAAGAAAAGTCTCAAAGAAAACAGAGAAATCTCAAAGAAGAAAAGTCCCTAAAAATAACTCACAGAAATCTCAAAGAAGAAAAGTCTAAAAAAAACTCACAGAAATCTCAAAGAAGAAAAGTCTCTAAAAAAAAAAAAAAACCCTCACAGAAATCTCAAAGAAGAAAAGTCTTTAAAAAAAAACTCACAAAAATCTCAAAGAAGAAAAGTCTCTAAAAAAAACTCACAGAAACCTCAAAGAAGGACACGAATAACTTCAAAGGGATTCTAAATTCGTGTCTGGTTGCGGGAAATCGGGAGAGAATTAAAAGAGTTCCGTTGTTAAAAAAAAGGTGTTTATGTGGATTTGTAAATCTGTGGTTCTGTTTATGTGTGTGTGTGTGTGTGTGTATGTGTATGTGTGTGTGTGTGTGTGTGTGTGTGTGTGTGTGTGTGTGTGTGTGTGTGTGTGTGTGTGTGTGTGTGTGTGTGTGTGCGTGTGTGTGTGTGTGTGTGTGTGTGTGTGTGTGTTAAGAAATGTTTATGTGGGTGGGTGTGAATCTATGAATGTGGTTGTGTAGATTTGTTAATGTGTCAATGCGCTTATATGTTTAGGTGTAAATGTGACTATTAATATGTGATTGTGTGTAAATGTAAATGCGTTGATGTGTGGATGTGTTTTTGTGTATACGTGTAAGTATGAATGTGTTAGTATACGTATGTGTTTATGTGAATGTGGTAGGGTGTGAATGTGTCATTGGGTAAATAGGTTAACGTATAAGTTCGTTGAAATGAGTTCCTTAATGTTTTAAGATGTGAATTATGAATGTGTTACGTAGGGCTATGTCAATGTGTAAATTTGTAAATGTGTAATTATGCAAATGTATCAATGTGTAAATGTGTAACCCTGTCAATATGTAAATATGTAAATGTGTAAATGTGTGTTAATATGCTAATGTGTAGTGTGTAAATGAGTTAATGTGTAAATTATGTATAAACGTGTTAATGTGTAAATGTATTAATGTGTTAATATTCAAATATTTGAATGTGTAAATGTATCAATGTGTAAGTGTGTCAGTGCGTAAATATACAAACGTGTTAAACGTCTTAGAGTGTAAATATGTAAATGTGTAAGCTTGTTAATGTGTAAAATTGTTAATGTGTGAAGGGATAAATGTGAACATTGCTAATGTTCATTGTTGTAATTGAGTTGATATGTAAATGTCTATGTAATTGTATTTGTGTGTGTTAATGCGCAGTGCCCTAAAGTGTAACCACGTAAACATGTTGACGTGCAGTGCCTTAGAGTGCAACCACGTGAATACGTTAACGTGCAGTGCCTTAGAGTGCAACTACGTGAAAGCGCAGGCGCGTCCGCGTGCGCCCCGCCCATCACCAGCCGTTCCCGTCCGCCCCTCTCGCTCACCGTGTCTCCCTTGTCGCCTCGCAGGCCAGGCTCGCCTCTGTCCCCCTTGGCACCTGTGTATCCTCGAGGGCCACGGTTCCCAGGCGCTCCCGGTGCCCCTTTCTCGCCCGGGGTGCCAGGAGTCCCAGGTCTCGCCGGTGCCATGGCCAGGCCGCCGTCCACCTGGAGAGGGGAAAGTAGGTGGGGGGAGAGGGTGGTTAGATAGGCCTAAGAAGTAAAGGGGAAAAAAAGGTGTTTTGACGTGTTGACCGCATCGTGTGATCTTCATTCAATTTGTATTTATTGTGTGGAAATGAACGAGAACGTAAAGAAAAAAAAGTATATATCCTGCAAATTTTTTAAATAAATTCTCAAAGATAAAAAAAAAAAATTTCTTACTAAAGGGAAAACATGTTACATAAGTTATGTTTTTTTTATTTTTTTATTAGGGTATGCAGAACTTAATCTCTTAATGACACCACAAACATTACAAGATTATATAAAGACCATAGACATAAATCATTGTCATTGAATCCCTAATTAAACAGAAAACCATAGTAACAATTCCCTAAACACACGAGAATACAGTATACTACAATGACCTATACATTATACATTATACACTTAATACTCTGTTACCTTAAACATCGTACGGGGCGTCCAAAGTGGCTGCATGAAGTGGTGAAATACATTTATTTTTTTACATTTCTAAAATACTTAAATTATCTACGAGTGGAAAAGTCATATCAATAAGAAGAATAGATTGCTAAATGTGATGTTATTACCTCTTGATAACTGTATTACTGAATTAATGTATGATATATGTAAACAGGTTTTATTTTTCCTTAATATTCAGTGTGAAATCATTATTTTGGAAAATAACTTCTAAAACAGTAGATATTACTTTTCAGTTTTTTATGCTAGAGGAATAAATCTAACAAGTAAAAAAATATATAGTGAAAATGTGTAATGAAATACTTTATATTAAACAATATATTATCCAACCAAAAAAGATAAAGTAAGTAAACAAATAAATAGATGAAATAAAAAGACAACAAAAAATGGCCTTACGTCATATCTGGAGTTGCCCCAGCCTGGCTTCCCGGGGGGTCCTTGGGGGCCTCTCTCGCCGGGCATGCCAGGGGCGCCGTCCATGCCCGACTCCCCCTTCGCGCCCTGCTGGCCCTCGGGTCCTGCGGGGGGGGGGGGGGGTTAGGGGAATGTAGTAAGAATAACAAGAACAACAGCAATAATAAAAACAATAATAACAATAACAACGATAAGACAATAAAAACAATAATAACAATAACAACGATAAAACAACAAAAAATAAAACAATAACACCGATAATACAATAAAACAACAATAACAAAAACAATAACAGCAAAGGGAGTCCCTGACCTGGGTTGCCCCTCTCTCCGCGGTCGCCCTTCTCGCCCTTGCCTCCGATGGGGCCCCGCTCCCCCGGGGGCCCAGGCCGGCCGGAGGTGCCAGGGATCCCGGGCATGCCGTCCCTGCCCGCCTTGCCGTCCTCGCCGGGGGGGCCGCGCGGGATCTGGACGGGGGAGGGGGAGGCGGGATTTTGGAACATGTCATATGCCAAATATGATATGTCATATGTCATATTTTGGAACATGTCATATGTGATTTTGAAAGCGTGATTAGCTTGTGATTTTGAACGTGTAAATGATTTTGTGATTTTGAGCTTGTGGTAAGTTGGTGATATTGAACGCGTGGGATAAACTCTTCGTGATTTTGAACAAGTCATGGGTTTGTGATTTTGAACACGTGATCGAGCTTGTAAACTTGATCGTGAGGAAAAATCGGATCTCCGAGCCCCGTGGAGTTTGAACAGGGAATAAGCGTAATCTCGAGCACGTGAGTTGATGATTAAATAATAAAGTTATAAATTCCGAATTATGAACACGTGATAAACTTGTAATTCTTATCACGTAGGAAGCTTAAACAGTCTGTGATGATTAGTGATGACTGCAGATTTGAAAATTTAGTCTATGGTAATCTGCTGTCATTGGTATTTTAAAAGATGGTGATCAACGCGTGATTATCTGTGTTGATTGAAATTCTGTACAGGTATCACGAGCGTAATTAGAACTGTAATTACCTGTGATGATTGATACTTTGAACATCAAAAAAAAATCATAAACTGTTAATTCATTGCTGAATTGTCGTGGTCCTCCAAGCATCATCTAAAGTTTATAGTCTGTGACGACTCGAGTTTTGATAAGCCAAATTGATTTGTATTCATTAGGATTTTTTATTAGAATATCGAAAAATGCCTCTGCTATAATATACGGAGATTAGAATTTCGAACACTTAAACATTATTGATAAGAAATCTGGAAATCATTAATACAATTTTAAACTTACAACCGAGATGGAAAGAAAATAAATTAATCTATTAAACTCCATATAGAAAAAAGGTATGAATGAGAGTGAACATCTTCACAGTACCAGAGATCTACTTAATCGGTTTCGAATATATCTTCGTCATGTATTCCCGACGAAGATCTACTCGAAACCGCTCATATACATGTCTTGAACTGTGAAGATATTCATTCTCATTCATGCCTTTTATTTGCCAACATGAATGCGGTTCAGTCCGTGATATTCCGGATTGATTTGAATCTTTTCTTTTTTCTTAATCTCTGAGTAGACTACGATAATCTATGATGATTAGAATTGTGATTGGAATTCTGGTTATAATCAAGCGGTGTTGATCTATAATGATTAGATATCTGGCTATTATTATGATAATTTTAAATCCTGTAGAATATTCATGGGGGAGTGATTTGTTAGAAAATGAGTCAGGTGAAGATTCATTAATATGATTAAATCTCCTTGGGGAAAAGAATAGCAATACTATATTCACTGAAAAAATATATATGATGAAAAAAGGAAAAATCAATATTCTTCTTGATAAGCTTTGATAACCTTAAAAAAAACGGTTTCCAAAAAGTTCTATATATACTTAAAAAATATATATATATCAGGAGAAAAGAAAAACTGAACTATGGTCCTTCAGGAGGTATTTGAAGAATGAAGGCAAAAGCAGAAAAAAAAAATGATATCAAATTGTTGACTTTATCTCTTGGTGTAGATGTTGAAATTGATGATGAGGAGGTCGATGATAATGATAATGATAAGGATAACGACAACATTAACGATAACAATAATAAAGATAAGGACTTATTTCAACGAAGAAGAAGGAAAATACCTGCGCGAGGATTGAGGCAACAAGCGACGTCTCATTGCACGCGCACTGTCCGGGCGGCGTGGGTGGTGCTCGCCGACTCCCGCTGAATTCCATCTCGGGCTGCCGGGGCGGTGGGCGGCGGAGAGTGGGCGGCGGGCGGGTGTGTAGGAATGAGTGGGTGGGGGTAGGTGGTAGGTGGGCGAAGGGCGGGAGGCGGTGGGTGGGTAGGGATGGGCGGTGGGCAGGCGGGTGGGTGGGTCGGCGGGTAGTTATGGGCGTGGAGTGGGCAGGTGGGCGGGGATGGGCGTTTCGGCGGTGGGCGGCGGGTGGGCGGGAACGGGTGGCGGGGGGAGGAGGGGAGAGAAACGAAGCATTAATAATTAAAATTTAGTATTAATGAACTTATATAATGATGTTTTTATTCAGTTTGGAGATTTTCGAGACGGACTCAGAGGATTAAATTTAACATTTTATAAAAGAAATTCGTCGTTTGTACACATTATGAGCACTTACATAAACGCACACAGACGTACACATTTACTCACTCACTCACACGTACACTCTCACACACATACATATGACAAACAAAATACAAACATATAGTTACTCCCTCACTCACACACTCATTCCCTCCCTCCCTCCCTCCCCCTCCCCCTCCCTCTCCCTCCCTCCCTCCCTCCCTCACTCCTCTACATTCCCTCACTCATTTCCTCACTCCCTTCCTTCTTCCCTGCCTCCTTCACTCATTCATTCACTCAATCCCTCCCTCTCTCCTTCACTCATCGATAATTACTCCCTCATTTACTTCCTCCACCCCCCCATCC